AACTGAAGCAAATGACTTAATAACTAAAATAAAACATAAGGAATTATAAACAGTCACATTGGATACTTCTGCTTTGGAACTCATGCATATGGTTTGATGTTCTTTGCTCTGGTCCAATTAGTTAGACAGCCTCATCAGCCTAATCAAATCGGGTTTATGTCTCGAGGAAGAAGAGTGCACCTAGGGGGATTAGCCATTGCCAAGAAGAATCTGAATCCAGAAGCCTCTTTTGTGTCGACTTTTTCTGCTCCTTCGATTTCCCAATCAAAGCATTGCACCATCACTCCAACTGCGGTTTCTACTAAGATATAACCTAGATTTGATCCAGGACATCCTCTCCTTCCGGCGCCAAATGGGAGGAACTTGAGTGCTTTCTCTCTTTTCTCCTCCTCCTCTTGCCCTAGAAACCTCTCTGGCTTAAATTCATTAGGGTCTTTCCAAAACTCAGGATCTCTCATCACAGCATAAGCATTTATAGCAAGTGATGTGCCCTTAGGTATGTTGAACCCTCCGAACTTATAATCTTGTGTAAATTCCCTTGAATAAACAGGAGCCACCGGGTGAAATCTTAGAGTTTCCTTGACTACCGCTTGCAAGTAAGGGAGGTTTGGTAGATCAGTTTCTTGAACCAACCTTGTTTTCCCTACCACAAAATCGATTTCATCTCTCAATCTCTCAAGGATCTTTGGGTTGTTGATGATTTCTGCCATTGCCCACTGTGCTGTTCGTGAAGAGGTGTCACCGGCTGCAAAGAAAAGCTCCTGCAGTTGCAAATATAGATTTAAATTTAGTAGTGTTCGTTTGGAATCTCAATGAAACATTACAACCAACGAGAGGATAGATAATTACCGCTACTAATGACTTGACATGGTTTCTAGTGATATTATACTTTGCGTTTTCGTCTCCATAAGCTGCCAATATTGAGTCCACTTTCTCTTCGTGTTTCACTACAATCCCTTCCCATAGCTCCTCAAATCTGTCTGATACCTCCATTACCTTATTTTTTAACACTGAGATCCCGAGCTTCTCAAGGGGCTTATGAAATATTTGTGCCACAAAAAACAAAGGGGACAAGGTTGTGAACTCCCTAACAAATTCCGAGACTTTCTCCCCCTCTGAAAAATTACTTCCCATGCTTTTGCCGAGGGTGTTGATAACAAGTCTCCTCAGTTCCTCACCCATCTCCACGCTCTGATTGTTAATTGCCTTATCGAGCAGTTTTCTGTAGAAACACTCTAGCTCAATTTCACGAACGCCTTGTGACTGCTCCAACGCCTGTGGTCCGGTCATCTTAGAAACCATGAGTTTCTTCGTGGACTTCCAGTAATCTCCATAGGGAGCTCTGAAGAAGCTAGAAGAANCAAACACGGGGCTCTCATCAATTGCAACAGCTCCACGAAAGGAGACGTCCATGTCGTGGTCCTTGAAGATCTCGTACGCCACTGAGGCAGAGGAGACGAGAACGACCGGGACATGAAAGATGCGAAGATAGAGGAAAGGTCCGTACTTGGATGAGATTTTGTGAAAACACTTGTGGATTGGAGCAGTGAGGAGAAGGTGAAGATGACCAATGATCGGAAGAGAAGGAGGGCTTGGAGGCAGATCAATGCCATTCTTCTGTTTCGTGAACAAGAAGACAAAGATAAAGAGAGTTGAGAAGAGGCATACGAGGGTTAAGATCAAACAATTTTGATAATCAAAGATGACTACTGCTGCCATTGTTGATAGAAAGCCTAGAGGAGGGAAATGAAATAGAGGATTCCTTAAATCATCTGTTAATAAAAGAAATTGGAATAGTGGAGAACCAAAAGTATGTAATGGTTTATATCAGACGTTATTTGCATTACGCGTGACCAATCCCTCATGCGTTTTCAATGTATTTTTTTAGTTACGACAATTGGTTTTGGAATTTTTTTTCTTTTCTTACACGCATT